AGCATTATTTGTTCTTTTTTAATATCTGATAGATTCTTACTGAAAAGGTAACGTCACAGAGTTACATGTCGGTATCATGTAATTATTGTTAGTTAATCCCACGTAAGGGGTTGCTCCAAAATATTACGATATTTTTGAAAATGACTTGATTAAAAAATTAAATAGTATTGCAAATAATTACCTTACATCGTGTTACTTTGTATGTTAATTACTTTGTATGTTAATAGAATTTTAGATAACTGAATCATATAATATCATATTACAAATCATATATTACAAGATAAGGAACTGAATGTATGTTTTCTTTTGTTTATTTGGCTGAATTACACAATTTTTTGTTTTGTGGCCGTGTAATGTGACTTTTTTATTACGATATCAATTTCTGTATTGCTGCATGAAAGATACGTGAAACGATGCTTACCGCGGATGAGCGTAAGGAAGAAGCACACACTAAATGTATAGAATCATATTAAATAATTGAAAGTTAGAAATAGAAAAATATACATCACTAGAAATAAGGAAATTTAAAAAAAAAATAGATATGTACTGATTTTAGGTTTTTAACAATTAATTGTTTATATATATATATATATATGTATAATACAATAGAATTGGATTTTATCTTTTGTATTTTTCGATTTTATTTTTAAAGGATGTATTTCAACAATGGTTTTTAAGGATAATGTATAATAATGTTTGTATTTAAGGCAATTTTATTATTTTATACATCTATTAGAAAATATTGTACATTTGTGTTGAATTAAATAATACAATTTTTTGATATTACATTATAACCACTTTAATTTAAATGTTGTAATAATAATATAAAATAACGAGAAACAAAATTATATGTTTCGACGCCAATCGGATCATTCTCAATGTTACAAATTAATACAAATCGTTATGAAATACATTAATAATAATACAAAAATTTGTTATCTGTTACATTATATAAAAGCAGAGAATTCGTTATCTATTCCTATATATCTTCTTTTTTGTGTCTGTTGCGTCAATTAAATAAAAGTAGAAAAAATATATAGTGTCCATCGTATAAATTTCGTTAAAATTTAAAATTCTAGTAGACAAAAGAAATTCACTACTTATTGTTAGTAAATAACGGCTAATACTATACATATATCAATAAAAAATGTACCTTTTATCAGTTAATTTCATCTTTTTTAATTTCAACTTCTAGATTAATGTAAAATTAATCATCTTCATCTTATCTAAATATAGTTTTATGTTATTTATCTTATCTGTATCTAGGTAATTTTTAATTATTATATTTAAGCGCAACATTGTTTGCAGTCCAACTTTGAACGAGGTAAGAGAAATCGGTAATTTATTCAGGTGTAGTTCAGTAATATAGAAAAGGTATGTTAATAATACAGGTATGCTTATTTTTAATTTTATGTTTATGTTTAATTTTATTTTGTAACATTTATTAAATTCCATTTATTTTAGATTAAGTCTGATATTATTTGTATTATTAAATACATATCTTATATCATATTATTGAATTTTACATTATACCAGAATGTAAAATTGGATTTCTCTTGTCCCATTTCCCGCTGGACTTGCGATCTAACCTTATTCTGAATTACCAGTAAAGCATGTCCCTGCTCATAGGCAGATAGGCAACCCGACATACTGATGTGTAGATTGCGGAAACACCCTGTACACTATGATGGCAGTGGCAAACCGAACGAACGCGCGTATTCGGCAATCTTTAAGAATTAATATCTCGTTAACTGTTGCTCAAATCGCAAAATGGTACGTGACTTTTCAAACTAGTTAAGTCCGCTTTACCTGCGCATGTAATTTTTCGCGGTCGTTCTGGGACACAGCAGAGAAAGCAGCTTTGCAACTGTTGCAAAATTTTTTAATATGATTGCTGAACGCAGCCATAATATACACGTAGACACACACCCAACAGTTACATTAATCACTGATTATGTTAATTGCATGAAGTTTAATCGAATTATCCTTAATTATTTACTATTGGAATATAAAATATGTAGAATGTGAAATTCATTTCTGTACAATTCTATGTCGTTTTATCTGTACAAAGAAGAATAACTAGGTTACATCAGTCAGACAGCATTGGAATAAATATATACATATTTATATGTAGATGAAAGATGTAATTTTTTTAACTGCAAATTTTTCAAAGTTGTTACTTTTATGTTAGTCACTATAAAACATTGTGAAGTAAATAAATTGATTAAAAGGATTGTTAATTCTTAACGAAATTTAATAGAAAGATAGAAATTAATTATTCTCATCTTGAATACTAAAAGCACTGGATAATTCTGTGTTCTGTGTATTTTTGTGTTCAAAATATGTAACTAATCTACTATCTTCCATATTTTTTGAAGAAAAAAAAAGTTAAAAATTAAGAGAATAATTAATAGTATTCACTGCAAGAAAATTTCTCTCCTTGCTTTTTCCATAAATTTAATCAGTCTGCACAGTGTAATTCGCCTTTTCTATAAATTTAATTTAAGATTCTCGTTTAATCCATGTACAATATTATTATTAAGAATAACATTTATTTATCTTCGGATATCTAGTAATTAGAACCAAAATAAAGATATTATAAAGTATTTCGACAAGATAATTTGATACAGCATAAAATTGCGTACGCGAAGATGAAGATTGAGGAACAGAGAAGGACATAGGAATCATATTTATGTCGACGTCGCATAGGATAGAGGAGATATTACCTAGGGTCGGATCGTAAACTGGTAACATCCGCCAATCAAATCCGTCTATGTGTGTGACCTGGCCTAGAATCGAAAGCTCTTCTATATCGAGGAGACGGTAATTTATCTTTGCATGATGAAAAGAGCGCACTATATCGCGTTAATATGACGTGGGACGTTTTGATCGCACTGTCGATTAAGTGCATTGATAAAAAAAGAATTCTATTAAAAAAAAAATTACATTACCTTACTGATGAGTCCAGTAGTGGAAGCCGGGACGAAACGCCAACTTGTTATATTCTTCGCAATCTTATTTTTCACGGAATTTGATTTATTATTAATTTAATTTACATTAAATTAATAATAAAAATCGTTAAATTTTAATATATGTCTTTCAACATAGTATTAAGATCTATAAGATGCTATGGCATCAAATTTGTTAAATTGCTTGTTAATTTAACTTAGTGATATTACTGCGGTAGTGAATATGTATGCGTCAATGCTGAAAATCTATCAGCGTCGCGGGGGGGACTACATACGCAGTATATAAAATTTCACACAATTATTATAAGCACGTTGATCTAGCTTCGACCGTTATAGGCTTCTTCTTCTAGTTTATTATTGTTTAAAAAAAAAAAGCTATATGGAGCACCTATTCTCTTAAGTGCAGCTTGGGTACAATTAGAGAAAGACTTTACAAGGCTGGGATGCACCGCTAGAAATTGGACAAAAAATTAAGGATTAAATATTCCTTTATAATTTTTCTTTGTAATATCCTTTAGAAACTTTTAAACATTTTTTTAAGAAAAGAAACTGTTGAGAAATTTGTTGCTAGAATTAAAATGCTTTCTATATAATTGTGAAAAGATTAATTTTCATTAACATAAAAAATGTATAATTAACGGAATGTTGAAAGGATCAAATATTCATCTAGGAAATATCCGTCTGATTGTTTCATCCGAGTTATAATAGATAAGTAAAAAATATTCACTCTTTTTTATTCCTCATACTCGAAATATCTCGAGATTTGTTTGAGATTAACCCTACATTATTCATATAGTCTTCTTTAACGTAATTATTCGCGTGGGGTGTTTGTGACACTCCAACATTATATCTTAATTTTTATTGTTCTCTTTTTGGAATAATTTACAGTTAAATAAAAATTTAAATAAATAACAGGATAACGAGCCGGAAATATGAAACAAAGAAAATATATTCAACAAATTATAAACATGATATTGTAAATAACAGACATTTCGACACTGATCGGATCATTTTCAATGTTAACAAAAATTTAAAATTTCAATATTAGAAACGGATCATTATATAAAAAAACATGTATAATGTAATGTCATATATGTGTGATTTGCTAAAAACTTGCAACAAAGTTGTCATTTTTAAAATAGTAATAGTCTTTAGCTAATGTTCTTGTAAAGGTTGTCCTGTTAAATCGTAGAGTCCAAAAAGTTAAATTATCTTATTGAAAGCATTACAGTAGTGTGAATGTCGACAAAAAAATCTATAAATTTAAAATAATAAAATAACAAAATAAATAAAAATTGATAATATTCTATGAATCTTTTAGAGATAAAGATAAATGCAAAAAATTTTTTATTTGAGCTAACCATAGAAATGTGTATAAGTGGTTTTATTAAATTCCTTTATAAAAATTTAATACTGGAAGGTTAAATTTAATACTGAAAAGCAAATTTGATACTGGAAATAATTTCTTTCCGAATTTTTTTAAAGTAAATCTCATTCTGAAGTGAAATCTCGATCTTAAACATTTTTACTTTTCCAAGATTGGTTCAATTTTCATTCTCTAAAGTGATATTTTATTCCAAAGAATTTAGAAAGTATAGTTACCTTCTAAATTCTTTGGAGTAAAATATCACTTTAAAGAATAAAAATCGAGCCAGTCTTGGAAAAGGGAAAATATTTTTTATTAAAAGTACTGTTGTTTGGGTTTGCTTTTATTATTTAAAATAAGTAATCAGTCACTATCTTTCAGTATTAAATTAGCCAGTACGTATTGTATTTTTGTAAAGACTTAAGTGTCCTGTTAGACACTCCACGCAGGGTGATGAAGGGTTAATAAATATCGAATTAAAAAAATCCTGATGTTAGAAGCTTCTATTATCGAACACGTTTTACGTGAAAACAGCGCAAGGGCGGTGCGCGAGAACGAGAGAACAAGAAAGAGAAGGATAACAGCTTGCGACCTGCTCTCGAATCAGCTTCCAGGACGCGCGGCAGAGCTTGCAGCTTCCACCTCTGTCACTCTCTCGGCTTCTGGACCCCGTGCCTCATCTCTCATCCCGACCCACGTTCGGCTACCCGTGTCGCCACTCGGCCTCCCGACTCCGACGTTCAGTCGCACCCTCGCATCGCGGACGGCGCGTACTCTGTACGTTTTCGCACATTGACACGCGTCGGAAACGGGATTACCGCGAGCAAAGATACGCTCGCACCACCGATAGCAGTTAGCGAGAAGGAAGGCTCTGTAAAAGTGATAAGGAATACGAATACATTTGAGAGATACCAAGGATGAGGCTCCTCGCGGTCGCCCTGGGCTTCCTTCTTCAGGCGTGGATCGTGTCCTGTGGGGTACGTGGCAAAACGGTGCATAGGCGAATCTGGGGAGCTCGAAGAAAAATTATACTCCTTCGAAAACAAAATTAAAAATATATGAGAAAGTTCAATATTTAAAAAATAACTTTTATCTAGAGAGAGAGAGAATTAAAGGGGTTTAATTTCGTCGGAGCTTTTTTCAACGAAACTTGGCAAGAACTTGATAGAAACTTGGCAATCGGGAGTGGTTTTTCTCGATTTCGAGCAATCAGGGATTAATTTATTATACGTTCAATAATTTGTGCGACGCTTTCTTTTGGCTTGATATTTTAAATTGCGATTTGCATTGTTTTTTTTATTTATTTAATATCAAAATAACGGAGAAAATAAAAATTCTCCTTGTAAGGAAATGTTTTAAATCAAGAAGGTATAGTATTTTTTCTCTTTTTGTTTTGTGGTATAATGTTATCAATTTACAGAAAAAAAATATAAAATTGATATTAAAATAATCCGAAAACTAACTAGATATTGGAAAAATTAATAGAAAGAGAGAGAGAGAGAGAGATAATTATACACAGATATTTCCTTTTCTAATGCCAGTTTCTACTAATGTAGATTAACTTTAATCTCTGTTTAACTTACTGCTCATTTTTCTAGTTCTAAATAAAAATTAGAAGAAAGTAAATTAAACCGAGATGAAAGTTAATTCTACATTGACAGAAATAAACATAACATGCTGTGTATAAAAAATATATCATAGTCCACCAATGCAACTGCCGCTAGAGCGTTCCCTCTCTCTCGTTTCTCATTACCTATCTCTCAACTACTATCTATTATTCTCAATAACACCGATCTATTTTACAGACAAGACCCAGCTTCGTTTCCGATCAGATGATCGCGACCGCAGCTAGTGTCGTGAACGCCTGCCAAACGCAAACGGGAGTTGCCACAGGTATGTTATTCAACGAGAGAGTTCGTTCACCCCAACGTGAATGAAATTATCGATCGCATTTTTAATTATTGCGACGGCGCATAAAGTTATACAGCTGATGCTCGCGAAACTATGACTATCTTGTTTCGAATTAAATCGATAAAACTATTTCACAGAGATTCGGAAGGGTACAAGTGGTTTTTCTCAATACTATCGATTCTGAACGGTCGGGAATGAATTATGGCGCGCTCAATAACGCATTATTGATTTTCTTTGTGCTTGATATTTTCAATTTGTTTAATTTTTATCTAGCTTTAAAAAATGCAGGGAAGAAAGTTAAAATTAAAACAACCTTTAAAATGTCTCACATGTTAAAAAGATGAATGGTGGATTTATTTAATTTGCTAAAATACTGCGTTCAATATATTCATTTCCAATTTTAAGAAACTAATTAATGACGTAAAAATTATTTGTAAAATATATTAATGGATATATTGAATGTACATTAATATATACAAAATACGTCTTTTTTTTTTTAGCCGACATAGAAGCGGTAAGAAATGGTCAATGGCCGGAAACACGTCAACTGAAGGTGAGTATGCGAGGCGCGCGAATTGCTATTTACGTCTAGCAAAAAAGTTATTCTTTAAAGAAAGAACGAAAAGAATTTGCTAAAATATCTAAAAATTTAGCTAGATATAAATCCAAAAATAATTTTGTTACTTCAAAGTAATTATGTAGGAAATTCAAGCGTGAGCAATGCCGCAAAAAATTGTAACATTCTAACAATCAGTTTGAGCTAACTCTAAATACATAATTATTTTGATAATTCAATAAAATGATTTTCGGATCTCTGTTTCTGTAGTTAAATTTTTAGATACTTCAGTAAAACCGTTCTTTCTATGCAACAACGCGTGATCGACGAAATACGAAGATATGTAAGACTCGCAGGAATTAAAGACTGTCCGATCTAATTTCTCGCAGTGCTACATGTATTGCCTCTGGGAACAATTCGGTTTGGTTGACGACAAGAGAGAGCTAAGTCTAAACGGGATGCTGACGTTTTTCCAGAGAATACCCGCTTATAGAGCCGAAGTCGAGAAAGCGATCAGCGAGTGCAAGGGGATTGGTAACTATTTGGGTATTTACTGTCTTTTTTCTTTTTCGTTCGTCCCGCCGATCGATTGCGTGTGCTCGAAACTTATGAAATAGCGCTGAAAGTAATCCTGTTAAAAATATTACTGAAATTAAGATTCATATTACTTAATAGCGATTTGCTTTAAAATTCAATGAAGCTGGTAAGAGTTTCTTACAGAAATCCAATTTAATACTGGAAATTACATTAAGAGAAATGTTTGATATATAAATAACTACATATTTTATGTGACTTACAAAAATATTCTAAAAAATCAAATTTATTAGAGCAATTTTTTAATAAAAAGTAAGAAAATTTTTGTGAGTCATATACCAACAAAATAAATGGTTACTATAGCAAACTTTTTTTTCATTGTATTTAATTTAAGTATTAAAAAGACTGTTGTTTTCAATGCTGAACAATTTTAATACTTAAAATTATTATAACCATTAATTCATCACACTTTTAGTATTAAATTTCTGTAAGAGATGAAATTAATGGTCAAATAAGAAGAGATATAATGTTTTTAATGGCACATCTCAATCGAAATTATGTTGACAATAATAAAACAGAAATTGCGAATCAAAATATTCTCCTTTAAATATATATCTTTGTATCTCTTAATTACGAAATTATTAAAAGTCTCCTCAGTATCGAACACTTTGAACTTTAATCCTTCTACATTTATGTTTTTTAAATTCTCCGATACTTTAGTTGTTTCATTTTATTTTCGATTACACACGATCCTTCGTGTCACGTTACGTAAAGCAATTAATAACTATTATTACTTCTCTGTTTGCAGCGAAGGGCGATAATTGTGAATATGCGTACGCGTTCAATAAATGCTACGCGGAGCTATCTCCTAGGGTAAGTGATTTCTAATTGTTTAATCGCAATGTATTATCCTCATCTCACGAGTGATCTCGCAATGTCCATTTCAGACTTACTATCTGTTCTAATGAGCGAGGCGAAGGCGACGCGTAAGAAGACCAAGAACAAAATGCTCAAGATACAATTCCGTGTCGAGATGTTTTTACGTTTAAATCATTTCCCACTTTATCATGTAACCGCTGTACATGTTGTATTGCGTAAACCGTATACGAATATGTGTCGATGAAATAAAGAATTTAGCGATCTAATCAATAATCTTCGACTATATCCTACTTCCTCCCTTAAAAGGGGATTATTTTCAGAAATTTATTACTGGCCAATTTAATATCGAAAACTTATTTGAGTATTAAAAGCATTTAACGATAGTGTTTTTAATATTCAAAATAATAAGTATAATTAAGCACTATCTTCTAGTTAAGTTTCTGTAAGGGCTGTACCTTCGCTTAAAAGGGGATTATTTTCAGAAATTTATTACTAGCCAATTTAACATCTAAAACTTATTTGAGTATTGAAAGCATTTAACGACAGTGCTTTTAATATTCGAACTAAGTAATTATAAGCACTACCTTCTATAGTTAAATTTCTATAAGGGATGTACCTTCACTGCACATCACGTACAACTATATCTCACTTTTGAAGTGCAAACATAGCTCTTGTACGAATTACGACGTCAGAGATTCTTTTTTTCTAGGAAGACCTACGATTCGTATAAAGTGTCTTTATCGGATTGATTGTCAGACTTGATAAATTGATGGCGCTCTCGTTTGGCAAGATCGAGTTTCATATCGCAGATTGCGGCAGTGAAACGCTTCAATTGCCGCTTGAGGTCATACTTGATGATCGAACACAACGGAAGGAGAGGTTTACAACTATGACACACTTGAAACGTTCATTCGCAAACGAGTCCTTTGTGACAATGAGAACAGAAATTGCGCCGCGGATTGTGTGCGTGCGGCAAGTGGAAGAGCATTACGATATAACGCAATGCAACTCTTGCGATGAATACGAGAAAGAATAAAAATAGTAATTATTATAAATTTAGGTCATGATTATTACACTCTAAAAAATGTAAGACTGTGGATTTATTAACCCTTTCGGACCTGATTTTATTCGAACTATGATAAAAAGTTTTTTTAACTAAATCCATGCGCATTTTAAGTGATTTATATCTACTATTAATTTTTTTTAAATTAACCATTTTTACAGTATATATATTATATCCTAGATGATGTCAATAGAATTAAATAATTTTAACAGATAATTTTTAAATTTGCATATATGTGTGCAATTTTTGTTATAGTGGTTAACACCATAGGTCTAAAACACAAATCTCATCATGTATTGGTATTAATATAAAATTTACATTTTAATTTCAATTTTTTTTTAATTCCGAGTTCGGGTTTTTAAACAGTATAATTATTGTTCGCTCAGTAATGTTCTTCTTTTTATTGCATTTTATACTGCCGCTGTTTTCGTTTTTATTTGTTGCATATCTCAATAAAATAATCATTATAAATATTAATTATGTGTTAAAATTAAGTAGATTTAACCATGAGTTTTAAACTGTAGTGTTAAATCTACATTAAGTTTTGATGTTTACATCAAAACCAACACACGGTGAAAATTATATGTATTTAAATACCGCATGGTATTATTATTATAAATTCATGCCTATTTTTTAGAGTATAGATTTAGATTAGACTTAAAAAAAAGAAATTTTACGGGCGATTTACAAATCTTACAATAGTAAGATGATTTGACTGTAAGACCGCGGTTGCATATAATTTCATAACGCGTAGTTATACAACGCACAGGATTACCGCGAGTTATAATTAAAAGACTAAAACATTTCATTTGTCAGACAGTATACAAATAGTGCTTGACGTCGGGTATCATTTTCAAGCTATGTACTGAATGAAATTACAGGCCGCGTGATCAGGAAGAGATTATCGTACGATTGTTACTTAGAAAACAAACTGGATACATTGTAATGATTCTTAAATTACTATTACATGTTTTGTTTAGCGTCATGCTCCTCGCTTATAACCGCACTTATACAAAGTTACAAATTGCACATTTTTTCCCCTGTATTCTGAAATAATTCTGAATTCTTTCAAGTTTGCCCTTTTCGAATTTTTTTTGCTTACAGGAGATAGTTTCTGCGTACGAGATACCAATTATTTTATAAATACAAAGATAACGCTTGTTATATTTAAAAAAAACAACAAATGATATTAAAAATACGGTATTGAACAAGCAACAAAAAAGATGACAATATCTATCAAATTATTCCATAAATTTAAAAATGAGAAACGTTTCGACTTTTACATAAGTCCTTTTCGATCTCATGATATGATATACACAATAATATAAATTGTAACATTAAAACGAAATAATATGGTTAATCAGTCAAATTATTGTTCATCAAGTCAGAAGTAAAAAGTATGAAAATTGTTTCGTAAGCCAATTCGTTTTAATGTTACAATTTATATTATTGTATATATCATATCAATGAGATTGAAAAGGACTTATGTAAAAGTCGAAACGTTTCCCATTTTTAAATTTATGGAATAATTTGATAAATATTGTCATTTTCTGTTGCTTGTTCAATACCGTATTTTTAATATCATCATTTGTTGCTAATTATTTTACATATCATACAGTAAAGAAACTAACAAATAAATCTGTGAGTAAAAATCTTTTTGAAATACTTCCGGAAAATATTTTCGAAAATACGCGTATGATTGGAATTAACAAAAATTGTGCTCTAAATCTGATGTTTTAGTTAATTTTTTGATTATTTTGATGCGATATACATATTCGTGTAATTTACTGATAACTGATTTTTACTTTTCATAGCTAATTATTATCTCCCACTTCGTCGCCGGAATTTGCATAAATTCTCGACGATTCAGCGCAATCGCGCACTTGGTAATCCTAGATGGGCGAATAAACATTTTTTCGTATCTAAATCCGTATTTATTGCAAGTGTCAAATACGAAAAATGGCAAAAGAAAGCTTAATTCTCATTTGCGCTTCTATGATTCTCACGCAACTTGTTATTGTGAGTTGTGACGAAAAAGTGAGTACGAACATGATTTTAAACGTACGAGAGAGATCTTTATGATATCGCCAATATAATAATTATATATATAGGATATAGATTGGGCTACTGTTCACGATGAGTTGAGGAAATTGGCTGGAGGCTTACGAAAAAAGTGTATGGGTGAAACCGGCGCGACAATCGGTATGTTCTCAGAATATCAGCATTTAATTAATGGGCCTCGATATTTATCACTAATAAAAGGAGAGTCAAGTAGTGTGTATACATAAATTTCGTCTAACTTATTTAAATGTTTTAGTATATTTATCCACTAATTCATGAACAAGTTGCACGACGCTCGATATTTAAGTATTCGCGAAAAATTTACAATAAAATTTTTGAATTCTTTATCGAGTTATGAACCAATATTGTTCATATAGTTGCTAACGTTAAAAGTACGTTAATGTTATAAAATAATTTTTCTATTCAATTTCTCGCAAATACTTTAAATATTGCATCGTGCAATTTGTCTATAAATTAAACATGAGGGTAAGTACTAAAATACATTTAAAGTTGAGAAAGAAATATGTATATTTAGACTTCCTCTTGTAAGAGAAAAATAATCGAATTGTTTAATGTTTTTTTGTGTGTAGCCAAAAATAATTTACACTATTTTCTTATTCCTACATCTATCATTACGTATTAAATCAGCTGATAATTTTAACGATTTTAATTACAGAGCTTTTAGATGGGGCAGAATTAGGCGAATTTCCACAAACATTAGCGTGTTATTTTAAATGTGTAATGGAAAAAGGGGGAGCGGTAAAGTTTTTTTTTTTTTATAAAAACAGAGAGACGTATAATATAATTATTAAAATTGAATCACTAAAGCTTGAACTTCTTTTGATTAGATGAAGAAAGACGGCAAAATAAACTATAAGATCTTGTCAAAATTGATTCCGCAGGCATATAAAAGTATTGGATTGGAAATGATTGATCAGTGTCGTAATATAGGCAAGTATTAGTTTGTTGAGATAAATTACATCATCTAATTAAAAAAATATTTTAAAGTAAAAATGCAACTATTGTTCAGAATAACTTATTCTATTATTAATAAAGCTGTATTATAAATAATAATCTTCGCGCACGTAAAAAACGTAATTAAAATTACGTTTCATTATGCGTCTTATACATGATTGTCTATGACTTTCAGAGGGTACTGACAAGTGCACTGTAGCCTTAAACTTTAACAAATGCATGTACACCGCAAATCCTGTGGTACGTATGTAATGATTAATAATTAATATCATACAATGATTCTAATGCATCATGCTATACATGTCTTTTGCATTTTTTTTTCAGGCGTTCTTCGTTATTTAGATATAAGTAGATGTGTAAATTTGAGTTCGTAATATTTCACTAAATAAAATACTTTAAACATTTATCCTATACTTCTCGTTTTTATATTAATTTATGGAATAAAGTATCTTTAAAAGAGAGAAAAAATTGCATACATTATTTGCAAGTAAGAACATTTATAATAAAAATCCCATGAATATAACAACAGCAATTTTTGTATCATCTTACTTTAAATAACGGTTATATCACGATTTATTAAATGTATCATAGTTTACGTATTTCTATGTCTCTCACATTAAACTGTTACAGTGATAAAGTTTCTTGATATACATACAAACAATTCATGCACATTATATACATCTCCGATCAAATACAATTTTCTTATTATTGTTCGTACGTATAAACATTAACAAATTTATATACATGTTACGTGTATCGAGTCTTTGTTTAGTTTTTGACACATACGACTGTCACGACAGATATTGTAAACAAATTACAATCAGACGTATAAAATAACAAACGAGATGTAAGATCTTTACATCTTCGATCAATCTCTCCAGATCATTACAAATGAATCTCGCTGTATAAATGAAAATGGTGATAACAATACGATGCTGAATCTATACTTTCCGTGGTTTCGCCTTCCTCTTGTTAATATTCATTATTTGCTCGACTATAATATCATCCGCTCTGGAATCGATGGGAATGGCTTGGACAGGCGTTCTGGAACTCGGCACTGGTTTGGAACGTCTCTCTAGTAGCGCGTTTAACCAGACCCACAGTTTTTCGCGATTGAAAAACGCCAAGGCCACCAACATAATGAATGGCAGCGCTATAACAGATGTCTGATTCATCTCGCCCTGATCGACTTTCCGCTCCGCGTTGAACGTTAACTTGACGTATTTAAATGACGAGTTTGCCTCAAAGTAGACCGGAATAGTGCGGTACTTGTGCACTGTCTGCGATAGCGATGACTCCAATTGAACGAAGTATTTCCTGCCATCGGCTTGTAATGGTGGGAAATGCACCAAAAAACCGGCGTTGTAAGCGTTGGTGTTCTTGCTCGTGGATTGCTGCACGTCCAACTTGGAAATATGCACCGGAGAATCGGGAACGTTTTCCCGGCATAATTTCACCTTGATCGTACGATAGTATTCCGGTTGGGTAGATGTGACATGTACTGAGACGTCCGTGCGCGAGATCGGATGAAAGGCGATCAGTCGCAAACCGTGGATGTCCTGCATTGGCTGTACCAACTGAGAACTAGGGCTCGTGCGCTCTATATGAGCGTTGCTCTCTGCGTTCGGCTTCAGACGGAACGCGTAGATGCACTATAAAATTAATAAATTGTTACAAATAAAAATTAGATCGATAAGATATAAGATTATTTTGTGCAAATTATATTATTAATATAAATATTCACCTTAGGCTGGAGACCGCGAATCCTGAAGTTACCATTCTCTTCAGTCGTGGCCTCTTCTTGGAGACTGGAACAGTTTCCTTGACCTTGAACTTCGACCAGTAAGCCGACTTCCGGTTCCCCATTCAAAGATGTAATGGAACCGTAAGCGCTATAGGCAACTCTATTACCGAATAAATTCACATTGACGGTCGCTCCTTCCACAACATTAATCATCTTTGATGGCGGATCAAAGCGGTATTCCTTCATCATAGGTCGTAAATAATATTCACCAGGTGACAAGGAATTAAATGTAAATTTTCCGTCTTCACTAGTTATGCTGTTCTTGCGGTAACTTTGACCGCCAGACAAAGAAAGGAGCACACCCTGAAAAATAATACAATATTATATTCTCTTTTTTTTCTATTAATACGCTACTAATAAAGTTACCTGCAATGAAGAACTGTCAGCGTGATCAGAAACTTGCACAATAATCTCGGCTAATTTGTGCGCCAAGAACATTCCTTTAGCATCAGGCCCTGTGATTACAAAGCCTTCCTTTTCAGCTGTCACTCTATAAGCAAACAATTATTAATCTTATGACAATTAATTACTGTAATAATAATAAAAAAAAATTATTGCCAACATACCTATATTCAATTTTTCCATCCAAAGGTCCAACGTTGTAAATACCGTCTTTTTGTGTAATTATAGTATGAATTGGGGACTCATCATTTTTCCTAATTATTCGTATAGTTACACCTTCCAATGGTGGAGAAATTTGGCCGGCTATAATCTAAATAATAGTCTCGCTTGAACTATGAATTCTATATGTTTAATACAGTGATAGTTATCATCTACCTTTCCCAAATCGCCGGCAAAACTTGCAATGTCATTATGACAGTCATTCACGCCGAAAACTTTCAGAGACGTTGGATTGAAAAGTAGAATGTCTGATAACGGAATGATAGTATACATGTTATCCGTTTTCGCCTTAAAGTCAAATTCATACTTGTATACGCCATCTTTTTTTACATATTTTAGTGGACCAATCCTATCAAAAATATATTAATAAATAAAAATACATATTTTTAAGTATATATATTTTACATATCTTAAAGAAATTAATAAAAATAATAATATTACTCGAGTACAAATATAAAAAAATATATACAAAATTTTTTTCAAGATGTATGTAACTTACGTAACACTGTTGTTTGCGTCTTCAATTTTTACTTTAAGATCGTTTTGCACGCTTGAACTTATAATATTGCCTTTATGAGTGTGTTCGGTGGAATGCAGCAAGATTGGAGAAAGATTACTCGTGTCCCAAGTGTAGGAAGAATTTTCGTATATATGGCAACCTTTTGGAGTAAAAGTGTATGCTCCAAATTTAGGCACACAATGCCTCATGCTACCTTTATTCAAAGGTAGAGTTATTAGTTTTGTGTTATTAGGCTCGAAATATTCCACGATTGTATCGTGAGATGATATAAAAGTGATAGAGAAGCCGGTTTGTTTGAACGGTGGTACTTCGGCGCGTTCCGACGTTATCGAGATTCTATAACTGGGATTTTCCCAGCAAAACACGTCGTTGTCGATGAAAATCTCATAATGACCAGGTAGAACGTCCGTAAACTGATACTGACCATCTAAGTAATGAAAAACGACTTCACAGACAGAGGAGATAGTATCGTATCGAATTAAACAGGTATTACTGCAATAACAAATAGGTATAAAGTATTTTACATTTGTTGTTGGAAATCAAATTAACTTTCAAGTTTATTAGAAACACAAGATTTAGAAAATCGGAAAAACATTTTTATCTTATATTACCATATTTGTTATTGCAGCTCAAATTATACTATATCACTGAAACCACCATTATAATAAGATTAATTAGTATTTATGTCAACATACCTTTAGCTTGTACTGTTTTTATCGTGACTCCATCGAGTATTTTCAAAGTAACTGAAGCCTGACTGCAATCTGTCCCTGGTAAACAATGCACTGTTCCTGTTAACGTGGCTTTTAATTGTAAGAAATTGACATTAGTAATTGGTTGAGACGTCACGTCAATCGTTTGTTGCAGTGGATAGAATCTAGAAATATAATAAAGTTTTTATAATTCATAACTATTTTACACATATTATTTCATAAATATCTACTGATTTATTTTTACATTCGTTACTTACTGTAAACCCTTAGTTTTTTCTTCTGTGCTCACAATTACACTCAGTTGATATTTATCCGGTGCAAGGTATACAGAGTACTCTCCCGTTTTCTCATTGGTGTCGAACTCCTCATAGAACGTAGCAGCTGTATTTTGAATGGATATTCGGCGAAAATGCAGCGTTCCCTTCGCTGATAAGGTTACTTTTCCCGAAACTTTGTACGCCGAAGGTACCAGTATTGGAAGTTCAGGCGAAGTGGGAGATATTTTAACTGTCCTCTCGCTAAATTGTACATTTGCTGGAACAAATAGTTATACAAATAATTCCATAGAAGTTCAGCAAACAATTTAATTTAAATAAAATTTTGTAAAATTTCTCGTACCAGATTCTGCTTTAAGTGTATATTGGCCGGCTTTCATATTATCTAATACGTATTTTCCATTCTTATCTGTGATGGCAACTTCTTTATTTGACAAGATTATCTTTGCTCCTTGCAACGGATTTCCGTTCGTGGAGCTATGTACTAAACCACCGACCGTAAAGCCGGTTACTTTAAAATCTGGAGTAAGAACTGCGCTGTTGTGACTCACTTTAAAAGACAATTCCGGTGGCTGAACGTCGAATTTTGTCTGAATGCCGGCATAATGAGGTATAAGTTTATAATTGCCAGGCGATAAACTAGGGAATATAAATCTACCAGTATTGTCTGAAGTCACGTGACAAAGTGGTTTCTTGGATTCAAAATTCTTATTCACAGGAGTAGTCTCACACTTTTCGGCGATACCATTCTGTAAAGTATACAAAATTATTTATTCTGTGAAAACTTCTATTAAAGAATACTTTAGAATTTAGAAAAATATCAATCTATTAATACTTTGACTGTCATATAAATTTGTATTCTGACACCATACTATTATTCTTTATATAATGTAGTTTCAAGTAAATTTTCATATACATTAAAATATTTTTTAATAAGTCTTTGATAAAGTCAATAGACTTCTTTAGAATTCAGTATTCACAATATATCATATAAAATGAATACAAAGTATTTTTGATTCATGATGGTAGTGAGTAGCAAATGTATTCAATACTAAAACTGAGATACAGTGATGCCCTATATGTGTGTATGTGGAGTGAGTTTATATACATAATCATTGAGAAATTGCCTTTAACGGTCGAGCTGGATCTTAGGTGCTATTATAATTTCGTGTGAATTTATATATTACGTATGTAGTCTTTTTGACCTATGATCTAGCTTGATCGTTAAAGGCAATCTCTCATTGGTTGTGTTTCTCACATGTACAGCCCTAAGATTTAGTATTTAAATATGATTTTTATATATATATATAAACTCATATATATGTAGATATGTATCCAACTGAATACAGGTAATTAAAGTGTTAAAATATACTAGTAATACAAAAATAATAAAATAAACCTTACGCCAAAAAGAATGAAGGATACACCAGCTACTGGTTCATTTTCGCTAGTAACTTTGCCACTAACATCATATCCTAATACTACCAAGCTGCCGTCTGCGAGTTCTGTGTTTCCTTCTTGTACTGTTACTTCAATTTTATTTTCTTTTATCAACCACCTAAAAAAGGTAATTGATATCGATGCCACGTTGTACCTTTTGTATCATAAAATAAATTCATCAAAGGTCAGACTGTACGCTTACTTGAAGTGATGTGCAACAAGAATGTACTTTCCAGGCTGAATAGGAGTAAAGTAAAATATGCCACCTTCTGCTGTTAACATTGATTTAATGGGATCTTGTTTATTGTTGTCTGTGTATAAGGAGACAGTAACTCCTTTAGGACCAGAGTCAGTACCTAAACTAATCACCTGAAAATAATTCATATTAATTAAATAACTCACATTAAAAACATATATCACTTAAATTAATAAAAATTTTACTGTTATAAATTATAGGTGAATAGGTCAACTTTAAGCAGGATTGTAAGGCTCGTAACTTGTTCTTATAAGAACTAGGCTAAGGGTGATTCTATGCATACCATAAATTACAGTTATTCGTAAATATCTTATAATGTAATCTAACAACTAGTAAAAAGACTATCTACAAAGATATTGCATAATAAGTATTCTAATCATAAGTTCTTGTAAGTTTTATAAGTTATGAGCTTTACAATTCTGTTTAGTATTGACCTATAAGTCATAATAATTTATATAGACAAATTATTTTCACATAATATATTTTATATATTTACTTGTAACAGGAAAAAATTTATTACTTACACGTCCTGTAATACCAAATCCTTTAAACGTAAAGTTAATATCTTTTCCCTGACTACAGTCATCCATGTCACCATCTACGTTTAATGTTACCTCTGTGGGCTCGAAACTCCAGCCTCTGGGAGGATCTATCTGATACATTAAATTTAATTAAAAGATATTTCAAAAATTTTTTTTTACAAAATTTTAGAAACTTTTCCATAATGCCAATTCAAAGAAAAGCTAATAATTTTATAAATTTGATAAATTAATAAAAAATGACAACTTTATTCCTTTTCAAAACAAGACTTTTAAAAATAAACTTATACATTCACATTACATGTAATAAACAAATTTTATAAAATTTTTTGTATATAAAGTGTCGTTTATTATAATATTTAATTACTAGCAATGATGATGGTGCATCTTTCCAGCTTACCTTTAAAATGTATTCGCCTTTATCATACAGAGGTAGAAAATAGTAACCAGTGTTAGGCGCGCATTCGGTCTGATCCTTCAAACTACCAGTCTTCGTGTACCTAATAAATTTATCTCATAAAATTCTGACATTCAATTAGCATTTATTGAGACATGCAGCTAATGCAGCAGTCAGATAACCTCTCATCCAGTTAAATACTCACAGCTTCACTTGTACCTTCGTGAAGTCGATGTCGGCATGACTTTTCAGGAAGCCGCCGCATCCCAGGATATCTTGGGTGATAGAGCTGGCGATGAGACCTGCTAGGCAAGCGAAGAAAAAAAGACATCGTTCGATCAAATCCATATTACTTGTCGCCTGTGTCGGCTGTTTGCTGAGATCGTCAGCCGGTGAAGTTACAGATCACGGTGCGCATGCGCGCGCGAATTCGTCTGGTAAATATCGGCTTTTCAGTCTCGAGTTTCTGGCGGCTGGCCGCAGCCCGCAGCTGCCATATACTGTATTGTCGCCGTGCCGTATCGACCTCCTATCTCAATTCTGCAACAAAAGTCGAGTAAAGAAGTTTCAAGTTTCGGGCCGGCTCGTCTTCAAATTTGGAGCAAGTGTGGAACGGAGTGAGTGGACACGCATTTATTTCCGAGAGGTAATATCGAAGTTGGATTCCTTTTGTGATTATTATTCGATACATGTTCGCTGTATCTCTAATTTTAAAATGCATTTCAATTAGGGAGACAATAATACACGTTGAAAACTGGCAATTTTATTCGCTCATTGAGAACTGGTCGCTTTGTTTACCTGCTACTGTCTGCTGCGGACGGCTAATCGGATTAATCGAATATTCGCCCAAGTGATAAGCTCGCCATTTGCAAAGCAAACGCAATACCGCGCAATACCGCACGAGAATTCTTTTGTAAACTTATACGAGCTGACATTTTCATTTCATCAAAGAAGTCTCGTAAGTATAAGGGGATCGACTTGAAGACCCATTCGTTAATGGACCGGTTTTTACAGACTTGTTCTTTTTACTGTAAGGCTGTTATACTTTTGAAAATTTCAAAAATTTGAAGCTTTGAAAGAATTTTCGAAGTTAATTAACAATAAGATATACATCTAGTAATATCGTACCTATATCCGAACATATGATATATACAAAACTTTATTTGTTTATATTATTAATCTCAAATGCTTTTTAAAATAATTTTTAAATACAGTTAAATTATAATATATTATATTTATGTTAATTAATAATAAATAGGTACATGTCCAGTCACTGGGACATTTACTTTATGAACCTTCAAAGTTTAAGGTACTTATTTTAAAGCTTCAAATCTTTAAAATTGTCAAAAGTAACTGCCTTACTTTTTAGTTGAATTTCTTGCACAGTTCATTGGTTTTCTTTTTTTTTTCACGTTGAAGAAAAATAGAATAAACTTGTACTTTGACAACACTTTATAATAAAAACCATGAAATCCTATTAATATTTACTTTATAATAAGTTAAATAATTATAAGTTATATTACTGTTAGTATTTGCTAATTTTTTTATGTTGGAAAAAAACAGAAAATATGAACTGTATAAAAAAGTTTAGGTAAAAAGAACCTTTACAGAAAATATCAATTAACAGAAATATAATTTATAAAATGCTTTCCAGCAAAAGATGCAGATGACACAATGTAACACAGTGAATCATTACATCCTTGTTGTTTGCCAATATTAAACGAAGATGATACGATCATTGTGTCAAACTGTGTTGCTTGCTGGGAAGTTAATAATTTCCCATTCAACAATATAGCTGTAACACCTGTGTTGTGTTATAATTATGTTTTTGGATGAGAAATTATATTAATAATTATATTAACTATTAGATGGTATTTTTTTATACTGAGTTATATCGCATATAAAAATGTATAGTATATGTAATAACTTACACTACAGAATTTTCGTATGCAATATTTTTCAAAAATTAAGATCCTAGGAATCCTAAATACAAACATTTGCTTTTCGCATATGTGTAGCTGCTACTAATTGATCGACTATTCCTTACAGAAAGGATACTGGTATCCCACGATTGAAAATGGTGAAAGTAGCGCTGTGCGTTACATGTAGACTCGACAACATCGAGGAACTGAAGCCATCGGGGCCTGAGTTCAGATGGTGCCTCAAATTCATTTGTTGCAACTGCTCCAATAAATCAGAGAAGTGGAACTATCTCTCTTTGGACGAGTCGATGCCGTTGCAACGGGGTAACGGGGTCTGTCATTTTATATGCAAGTGCAAGTTCTGCTCCCGAGAGAACTCCGTGACGATAATCGAGGATTCGATTAAGTCGTTCACCAAGGACGACGAGGGAAAATTCAAAACGATTGTCGTGTTTGACTGTCGGGGTATAGAACCAGATAACTTTTCCGCAGGGGAAGGATGGGTGGCCAAGGCTGCGAATGGTGGCAAGGAATTCAATGATGTGGATTTGGATGAGGGCGAATGGGAGGACTATTGCGACAAGATCATGGAACCCGTTGGAATATACGAGTTTCAGCATAGGTTCCAGAAGATGAAGTGAAATCGTGTTTGGAAAATATACCTACCTAATGCGCATTTCGGTCATCAGAATTTTATAACAGATAATGGATTTTCCAGGAGGGTTAACGAAGCAAAGCGACACATGTCTGATTGTAAGTGTTATGTGTAAATATGTAAAGATATGCATTACAGTCTCCATGCCTCTTTCACTTCTTGTGCACAGATTGTTAATATATAAAACTATACAGGATTGTTAGATTTCTTATCAGAAGGACAATTTAACTCAGATTTCATTCGTATGATAGTTAACAATAGTTTTGTTTTGTTAGACCTCATGAAAAAATATCTTACTTGTACTTAAAGTTTAAGAAAATATTGTTACACACGTACACTTGTTTGACACAAGTGATCCAATATGTTTGTGTAAAGAAGCACAACTTACAATATGAAAGAATTATTGCTTTGTAATAAACATCTAATCATTTTGTAATTTGAAATATCTCTTCTTTGTATAGAGAAATATATGTCCTTGGACAATGAAGTAATAATTGCGCACACAGAAACATTCTTCGAGGTCCTCTCTCGTCAAGGCAAAGAGTAAAAGCAGTACCAGTCCAACGACATAATATAATTTATTCATAATCATATAAAAAAACCATTTTATTTCATAAATGGCTTGGTACACAAGAGATGTCGTTTGCAACAATAATTCCACTTTGCCTCCTAGCACGTTCGGAGTTGCCGATTCATACCCTGCGTGAATAATCGAGTGACTAGTGTCGTTTTGCGGCAAGGGCGATGCTCGGAAAGCCATGCGGTTTACCAATTTGTGAATCAATTCGGACAACTTGCCTGTCCTCCATCACCAACGCAAACTGCATTCTTGGAATGTCGATGCGATCGCATAAAAATCATCGAACTTATGACAACGACGCACTAATCCCGCCTTACGATTATAAAAAATTAAAATATTCCTTGATTAAAAAATTATGTTATATACAGTGTCTTCTTTTTTTTTTTCACGTATAAAACTCTCGAACAACTTCCCACTTAACGATACTCGGCGTATCGCGCAAAGACTTTCGATCGGAGTAACTCTCGCAGTTCTGTCTCCACAATAAGCTACAAACGAAAAAATCACGATGAATTACGATCGAAAAGAAATCATAGAGACAATATTTATGATAATAAATCACAATAAATTCAAAAGAAACGAAGAAAGGAAGAAACAATATGTGACTTCGTTTACTTGATGATTGCCTAATGCACTAATGCTACGCTACATTTGTCTAATGCTTTCGTTTACTATGCTTTCTAATATCTAACACAAATAAATATATCGCGTGCGCATTACAATCCACCGTTCCCGGAGAATCTTTAACGTATTGAATCACATGTAAGTAACCGCTAAAAATTTTTAATCTAACAATCGATAACGCTATCAGTCTATTCTCACAAAAATATCACTATGACCGAACATACCGTGTCGACGATACAACCAGAGTCCAAAATTATGAAATCGATTAAAATTTAATAAATAACATAAATAACACAAACCTTTAAAATCTTTAAACAAATATACTCTTTATAAAGTAGATATATTAACTACGTGTCTTTTTAAATCGCTTAAAAATGTAACTTAGCAAACCCCATAAATTTGTTGTGAATGCTGGAATGAAATACTAGACTCTGGCTCACATGGAAGATTTGTAATCCGCTTGACGTAACTCGAACAATTATCCTACTAGCAAATTGAGGTTTCTAAAAACGCTTTAACCATGATGCTCTAATATTACGAATATGCATCGCTGTGCGCTTTTTGATCGATTAAACAGCTCTAGTCTACTATCTAGCTAAGCTATCGTCTTTGGTATACTAATCTGGGAGATGCTTACTTTATCCAGAGAAACAGAAGGGTGATTGTTCACAAGGAAAGATCTTGCTTCCGGGGATACGAATATCGCATGGAAATAGGAACATTACGAGTAATATGTGTAAGCTAGCTGGTTATGGCGTCCCCATTATGTCTCACGGTGAGGAACGATTATCAGTAATCCTCGTCCTCTGTGTGAAAAATAAGTGGTGCTTGCTGATGAATCAGACGCGAACGCGAGAAGCGAAATTATCGCTTTCTGGAAATGGAAAGCTCTATTTTGCAATTGTCTCTTGCATCGCGTCCAATTTACTTCGAAGTGGAAAAGGTGCACATGCCATAAACATCATTATTCTGCAACAGATCAAGTTGGAGGATCGAGACTGCTGGGGAAGGTAAAAGCCGTGACTTACACCTGCATTTGGTGTTAAACTTTTCCGTCTTTATTACAATCTGCATTATTATATGCAGATAATATATAATTTCCACATACGACTTGTCTCTGTCTGCTTGGTTTATTATTTATTTAACTGTTTCAGCCCCAATTTTTTATTTTTCACAAAGAGCTTATAAAAATTAGTTATATCCACAAAAGTGATTAGATACATATCTTGCTTAAGGAGCTTACATATGTAGGTTTTATTTGTCTTAATGAGGCTCAAACGGTCAATAAAACATTTCTCAACATTAATCACCACAGATCATCAAAAATCTCTCAAATATAAACTGGCAACGATTCTTTATCTAATAAGACCAAATGTCTTGCTCAAAATAGTAAGAGGTATCATCGTGATTCTCTTCCTTTGTATATGTTTTTAGATTTTCTGTAGCCGCTGTACTAGCGACACGAAAAGCAGGAAATGTGGGACATTTGTTGGAAATCGTACGAAGCCAATTGTTAATTATTTCTTTATCAAAACTGTTCTGTTTGACTCTGATATCTTTGAGAAATTTTACGATATCGTATGTAGTAGCGTTGATAGTGTGATTACGACTGCGTCAATCAGCATTATCCTTCCCCAATCTATCTCAATCAATATTGGGCCGTATTCCTTGGGCACATATCATTTAATGTTTTTCTAATGTCTAAATCGATTATATACGTTTTGAATCGCCTATCTGCTAGTGTATTCGGCTAAATTCGTGGTTTTCTAAATCCGTTAGATGGATATATACTAAATATCTATGCTTTTTGATACTGTTATACTCATTCGCATGACTTACTTTTGACCCTTCTTTCTAGGATTTTTCGCTATGTTTCCTTGTTTTTTTCTAAAGCATATCGAAGACAGACACCCGTGAATAGGCCCGTTAGATGTTTAATAGTAAGTTCAATCCTAGAACGCTAACGGGGATTCTGTCAAGGACCTAGTACAATCTCAACCTAGTGCGTATTATTATCTCTTTCTCCTTGTTTCCTATTGCAAATTCCGTATACAACATACTAACGATCGATAATATTACACTTTGCACTATGTATATTTGAAAAAATGTTAAATATAGTAATATTAATATAGTGATTAATTATATTAATTATTCTATTATAATTGTTTGATAATAATATATCGATTATTAATAACTCCACGTTAGCGTTTTAGGACTAATCTATTGTAATTCGACGATCTGCAAGAATTTCTCGTCTGCCGTCATCTCGGAAAGAAATTTCGGAACGAGCGTCGCGATGATAGATAGATCGAACGATGAGAGTCTAGCTAAGGAAAAGGCTAATCTAAAGCAATAAATGAAAGTTGGCCTACTCGCGCGAAGTTGCAAATTAAAAGCGACGAAAAAAAAAAAAGAGTTCGTGAGAAACGTTATTACGCGAAACGAACAATAGAGCGGAACAATGCCCAGCGAGGATACGCGACACACTCAATTTCGACTCTCTCTCTCTTTCTTTCCCTTTCTCTCTCACTCTCGTTCTCTTTCTCTCATATCACGTAAACGGACAGAAAAATAGAGATTTGACGTGCGTGTTCGCACTCAGCTGACCCTGATATCATCGAGCCCGAGGAGGATCGCGTCATCGTAATTCGGTATGCGCATGGAATAAACGCTGCGCTTAATCAATACTTCTCGCAGCGCGCGGCGGCTCGACCAATCGCGGATTCGCCGAGGACAGGGACTGGTAACTTCGATCTTGTCCGTCCGGCGAGCCTGTTCCCCTCGCAAGGAACACAGGGCGATGTCGTGGACGCTGTTAGTCGTGATCGAGCAGCACAATAGACCGGAAACGAGTCAGCCGGTCGGATTCAAGGCAGCTCGTCGGTCAACAGGCTCGTCGGTTCCAAGCAAGTTTGCTTCAGGGTGGCCGACTGATCTTCGAGACTACGCTTCAAGCCCTCGATTGTCTGCATCAGCATCTGCCGTCGTAGCTGGGATAGCTGGTGCTGAAAGAACTGCGAGTCCTGAATGTTGTTCGCGTTCGCCTCGGCGGCTAATCGCTCCTGTCGCAATTGCGCTACCTTTTCCTTTAGAGATCTCCTCGAGTCATCTGCATATACAAAATAATATTGATAAACGAATATATAGTGACTGCAAGATTTAATTAAATCTATGCAATTAAGACGTTCTATTAAAATTAGAATGAAACAGTCAACGCGATTTTAAAACTGAATTAAAAATATTTTATAATAATATATGCAGGATATTAAATATTAGATATTTTACTGAATCATATAATTAATTATTGAGAGATAAAAATTATATGTATTGAAATATATATCTCATATTTGTGTCATCGGGATTGATACAGTTAGAATTACCAGAGAAATGTTTATAAAAGAAATTTTATAAAAGAAGTACGAAAAAAAACACACCAGTATCATCGGTTGCTGTATCGCCGTCAGAATTTCTCAGCATAACATGTTCGCCCAATGTCTTTTGTATTCTGCCATATGTCGCGCTTCCGGCGTATACTTTTCTTTTAACTGGCTCGCTTTGCGGACAGTAGGAAGAACCTTCTTTGATGGGACCCATATCGACTGATCTAAAGACATTTTTCTGTTATAAATAATTCAGCGACTGCACGTTCAGTAACGACATTAGATTGGAATTATAATATTATAATTATCATTAATATCAAATATGTATAGCAAACTTGCTATACATTAATTTCAAATCTCGGTTCTCCTGATAAGATATTACAATGTTACAAATAAAATAATTGATAATATAACAAAGAGACAAAAGCTAGTTTTTAAATCAATTTCTCAAAAGATGTAACAAGAAATTTTTAATATAAAGAGATTAATGTTTCAAGTTTTGCATTAAATTGCAATCTAGAAATTATGTAAGATTTTGTTTATCAAACACAACACCTGAAAGTCATCAATGGAGCCCTCCGTCTCATATCGCACTTTTCCTCGGAATCCGACGAGCTGGACGTCACTCCCTCCTCCTTGGTCGTTTCTCTCGCGGAGCGAAATTCCTTTCTACCTCCACCGAGAGAACCTTGCATCATCCCGTTCGCGTGTATCTTCTCCCCAAGAGAACTATTCGCATTCACGCCGGTTTCTGGTTTCATCCCGCCGTTACAATTCAAAGCAATCCGAGATGATCTGTTGCTGTCCTTGATTTCTGGTTCGCTGTTACGCGCTCGATGCACCTGCTGGTGCATCAAACTCCTGCTGGGTGAGCTCTGGGGCGTCGTTCTACGCGTCATCGCCGGCGAGTCCGGACACTTGGACAGCTCGTGCTGCCGAAAGGCAGGCGGAGGCTCTTTTGAAATGAAATTGGCTGGGGAATTTCTTTCCATAAATCGATGAATTGGAGAACACGGCTGAGCGAACTGCCGTTTGGGACTGGTGTGCTCCAGATCACGAATACTGCCGCTTTGTAATTCCGGCTGGGAATTACGGCTCTTGGACAGTGCCAATTCAATATTCAGCTCCGTGTTTTTGATGAGTTCGACGCGTTTGTTCGCCAAACCGTTATGTAGCTTGCGCGACGGCGATGGCACACACGGCGAAGGACTCTGGTACTTTTGCATGCTCACCAAAATATTCTCCGCTTCCAGGATAAGCTCGCGATATTTGCGATCGGCCTCCTTGTCCGCCTCAATCAGCGCGATCTCCGACGCGAATGTGGTCATGTATGTGTTGCCGGCCACGTGGCGTCGCACTATGTTGCCGTTCACATAACTTACCTTGAAGGGAAACAAAGTATAATAATGTCATCTCAAGAGCGCGCTGGAGATAAAAAAACAAGAATGAACGAAGCTAATAAAATAATCGGTTTTTAGTTGAAATATATGATTGAGAGTAAACCGTGTCGTTCATTTTTTCTATAATAACGATACAATTTAAAAACTATTCTAAAAAAATAAGTTTAAATAAAAATAATTTTTAATATTTTAAATTATTAAAATTTGTAAAATATTAATTTTGAAATGTAATTTTAACGTAATAATTAATTATATAAAGGAATAAAAGTGTATTTTTTAAATAAATATTTTCTTTATACTTTATATACATCCACTTTTTTTACAAATAACTAAAAAACGACAACAAAACATTTTTTAGTTAGGTCATTGTAGCAAATAAGCGCGATCGAACAGATTAGGATCTCACCGAGTTCGACCGTCTTTTCACGATCTCGTTCTCCATCACGGCGGGTCTGATAGCCGACGGATTGCCATTCAGTCTCATCGGTGAGAGATTCTTATTCACGTCGTGCTTCCTGCGTCGCAAGCACATCGGCGTGCCGCCCACGCTCCTGCTGCCCTGATTGAATCCTGAATTCTTCAGGAGCATCCTTTCGACCAGCACACGATTCAGGTTCGCCGTCTCGTCGTCACATCGGTCTAGATTCGGTTTGCGACGCTGTGATATCCTCTTCTTGCGCTTCTCGCTTTGCTTATCATCCATTTTTCTATGTCGCGAACTCTGTCTCTTCGTGCTGGTTCTCGCATTTATGTTTCTAGCAATGTAACAGAAATAAATAAACTATTAGCGTTTTCGACTACAATTCGGGTTTGAATCGGTCTGGGTTGAATTAATGACGTTGTATGTTCTACCAATTTTGGAGCATGTGACGTCATTAATTCCAAGTAGGTTCAAAAATGTATATAATAAGTCCTTGGCCAATTTAAGCCAAGTTTCTAGGAGCTCACCTCTGAGAGATCTCGTCCTTGGTCCTGCGCTTGAGGAAGGACTCCCGGAGTCTGCTGCCGCGCCGGCTTAGTTCGCTGGTAAAAGTGAAGTAGGTGCAGTGACCGGTATTGGGAAAGTGGCCGGCGCCACCGCATTCGAGACTGTCCAGATCGAGGAACGAGCCATTATCGATGTAATCAAGCTCGTCGTTTTCGAACGGGTCGTTCTCGTCACCGCCATCCTGCCCGGTGTCGATGTCTGATAGCGAGTCAATGTAATCCTCGCAGTCAGTCGGGTCACTGTCCGACAGAATGTCCGTCTCTTTTTCGTATACGTAGCTCTCGTCGAACTTGCCCATCATCTCGTTCAGTGTAATGTCGTCCTCTGATGAGCGCACACTGCGCGTCACCGAGGACGCTGACGAGCTGCTGCTGCTGCTGGCTCGTCGTTGCAGGGCCAAAGAGATCTTCGGTCGGAGATCTATGCCTGATGTGATCCTCCAGTTTTGATTAATCCTATGCAAGACATATCACAAAAATTCTTCAAAAGTGTATTTGCAAAGTTTACATATGAATATTAAGCAAGATCCACTTTAACAAATAATAGAGTTATCTGTCTTAATTGATTTATCATCATTGACTTAATTTCTATTTATATATGTAATTGAAAATAGGATTCTTCCTTTTATTTAATTTACTTTTATCGGTTTGAATTTCATTTATAACAAAAAATCTTGATTTAAATTCAATGAACTAACATGGATATAAAAATATTAATTAAACATTAATCTAAAATATGTCAATTGCAAATGCAAGTAAAAGAGAATTCAATTTAAAGAGAAAAAGATATATGTATAAAAGTATATATAATGAATTAAATAAATAAAAATTTATTTAAATTTCTTCTATTCCATTCTTAATTAAGCTTTCAAATTTTTTCTTTTTTAATTCTTGATTTAACTTTTTCTTTAAAAACAATCGTGTAAACTGTAAAGCTATCTATAAATTAAATTTGTATAAATGTGACGTCTATAAAGTTTTTTTAATCAAAATTTTATTTTACTGAAACGTAACATAAATATATATACAGTAAAAAATGTACATGCAATTTACAAACCAAAGCACATGCAATTCGCAAACCAACGATGATCAAATTGCAAAAGAAATTACGTTGAGCGGTGGTATCGCACGTGTAATCAGTTTGTAATTGCGAATTAAAAATTAAATCTGGCGTAAAAGGGAAAAGCCCGTTTCCATAATTGCTGGTCGGCGGCCAATAAAGCGCACAGTTTCGCGGATCTTTTCTGCTTCGCGGAACTTTTCTAACCATTGGCTTCTCCTTTAAATGTACCGCCCTCGCTTCGGTCAATTCCAGACCAAAGACTGGAAAAGCCGACGGATTTGGAGTAAAGAAAAACTCTTCGAAAAAGGATACGCCATCCGCCAGCAACTTACGCAATTAGAAGTTTTTCCTATGAGAAATTGGATAAGTTCCGAAAGAGCAACGATACTGCTACAGAAATATATCGGATACTTTCATCTTACATTTCTCGCTTTTCTCGCTTCTACATTTTTATTTCTCCACAGTTCATTTTTAATTTTCATCTATCTATTTTCAACTAGATAATCTTCTAATCCGATTCTACTTAATTATCATTGTAATTATCTAATTTTAATTATTAGATTCTTCTTTTATAATTCGAGTTAAATCTTTTTTGAACAAAACAAAAATATTGGATTGTAAGTCGAGGAGAGAGTGACATGTGGGAGGAGAATTAAAACAACAAAACACAAAAGAGGCGTTACTCTTTTTTTATGTTTTGTTGTCTCAATTTTTATCTCCTAGAAATTTCGTTTATGCTTCTGTCACTTTTCTCGACTAACGTTCTGATCTTAACATTTCCGCTAGGGAATCAATAAGCTACATTTGATTGAAAAAAATTTAAATAGACTTGTGAAAAAATCTAATCACTAAAATTAGATTATTACAACGAGAGAGAGAGAGAGAGAGAGAGAGAGAGATAATTAGATGTCGAACCATTAGACAGCACTACTTACGGGCTTCGGCCTGCGCTGAGGCTCTCCTGGCGATGCTCTTTCCTGCCATGAGGCTCTCTGCCATTCAAATTGACATCGCTGGCGCTGCCGGAGGATTCCGTGAGCTTCAGGCCGGAACTGCTGCTGCTCTCATCCAGGGCGAGTCGCGATTTCAGGCCATTCGTGCTAGATCCGGAAGAGTTCGCCGACAGCCATGGGTTCGTCCGGATGCGGGAGCGTTCACGAGGCGACTGCACCGGAGGTGAGACCAACGGTGGTGGTATCGATGATGGTACCGGCAAATTATTTCTCGTTGAATCGGCAGAATAAGATTCCGTTCTGCGATGAGAGTTTTCCTGTTGCCTTTGCTGATGCTGCCTTTGACCGTGATTCGTCGATGTCTCTGCACTCTGCCGAAAATAGAAATATGTAGAAACAAAAGAAGAGACGGAGTTATTTCATTAGCTTTATCGATCATGGTTGATTGATATTTTCCTTTTTGTGTATGATAATTAATGTGCTGCGATGTAAAAAGAAACAGAAGATAGGTCAAACGCTTAAAATTAGCTAACGTCAATGAAATTAGGAAATCCTCGTTTCTTTTTAATGAGATAATGAACATTTTAGCGATCGTTAGTCAGGAGGATGAAAATATAATAGTGATTCTTATAAAAGAAACACATGCGACTATTCTTGCCGATGAGCAAATCATTTCATTGCATAATTTGCATCTAAGGTTAAAGTTAAACAAGATTATCAAAACATAAAATATCTGTAGCAAAATTCTTTCTGTTATAAATTATAATGTATAAATAAATTAATTAATTACAAAAAATTAATTTTATGCGTATTTTTAAAGTAGCAATAAAGAAAAAGTTTTCAAAAGATATACTATTTACCGCATGTATAGTCAAGTTAATATTAATTATAATTGTATGTTATACAAATAAATTAATCAATTAATTCTTAATAAATAATGAATTTATTTTTATATAAATTAATTATTCTTATAGTAAGATATCTTTGGGGACTTTACTATTATATACAGATAAATATATGTATAATTATAAATATCTTTTTTTATTATAATTAAAGGAATGGTTTATAGCTGTAACTATGATTATTCTCAAGTATTTTTGTTTCTCTTTGAGAAAAAAATTTGTAGATTATATTATAAATTATTTACATTGTTTTATTTAAATGAAACTCCATGATCGATTATGGCCGGAATTAATTAATTAATTAATTTGTATAATACACAATTAATTATTCTAAAGTATAGTATAAGATATATCTTCCTTATTGTTCCGTTAAAAAGTACGCATGAAAATTAATTCGTTCATTCATTCAACCCCTCAAAGTCGGCTTTTCATACTCATCATTCTGTCCCCTGTATTTTCGTTCTTATCGTCAACCAAATCGCAAACTCGATCGTTCCTCTCCATTGTGCAGAAACGGAGTCGCGCGACATACAATCGATCACAGTCCTCGAAGAGGTAGGATTCATTTTTCACTCCTGCCGCCCATTAACGCTCGATATCCTGGCGCGCATTTTGCGACAATAATATATATATATATCTCTCTCTCGAGTCGCGCGAGTGAATCCCGAGGAAGAGCAGAGCAAAGTAACGTTTCCGGACTTTTTCACCTCCGTGCTTCGAGAGGAGCGTGACGATGCGGCAAATAAATTTTTTTTCCCCCGCGACAAATAGCGGTACGTGCGTCGAAGGTAAAAGGAATGGATCATCACGCCGCAGCTTCTCAGGTAACCTCAGCATCCGCGAGATCCACCGAGAAGAGGGATTCGCAAGCCTTATTTCCCTTTTGGCTCTTTTTCACCTATACTCCCCCGTAATACATTCTACGACGATAAATGCTACTACCAGAATGTATACTTCCTGCTCGGCGAAAGAGGCCGGGTGTCGTTGAACTCGCGGCCTCAAAGACCCTGCGGCGAATAAGCACCCACAAGACGTCGCGCCCGCGGGGGTGCGTTTCAGCGAAACGACAGCAATCTCGCACGGCGGACTCGAAACGCGCATTTACTTTCAGCCTATAAACTATTTGAGGGCTGAATGGAGTGTGACGCATTTGACGGAAGAGCCGCGTCGTGCTTTCCTTTTGTGAATACATCATATCGAGGTATCTCGAAACTTTGCAATAACGGACACTTCTGACGTTTCTCTGAACTAAAGTTTCGTTTGAGAAAATTCTCACACAACTACGAAAGCGATAGTTCTCGATTTTTAATAATTTTGTGAGTCTTGTGTTCAAAAATTTTGCATTGTTACTAAAATTATTTAATATATAGGAAAAAGTAGATTGGATAATTCAGTAAAGCTATAACTTGCTGCGCGAGTCTAATGTCTATAACTATGAAGATTTTATAATTCCAAGAAGAAATTATGTCTGTAAGTAATTATTAGTATGTTAATTTAGTTAATTGTTTGCTACAATAAAAATTATCAATGTAACAATCTTTTTTATTACAGCAACAAAAGTACACCATCTTAGCTGACATTTTTGTTAAAAATTTTTTTATCTATATGTTAAATTGACTTTAGTAGAAAGTTATCTTTGCTGTAACACATCTCTCTCTCTCTTATATATTACAACGAATATTATTATTTATATAATTGCTAATTTTATTCAATTATATAAACTTGCCGTTTTAATATAGAAAACTGACGGTCCATATGTTATTATAGATTTGCTGAATCAGTCAAGTTTTAAGTTGCTTTAACATACTTTTTTCCATATGTGCTTGATATAATGTTGAACACGAAGAGTGAGTTTGATTTAAGTAAAATAATATAACAATTTATAAATTAATTTGAGAACACTCTTTAAGCTTTTGATTATTCATCACAATCAATTTTTTAAATTGATGTCAGAATCGAGAAAAAGCAAATTGAAATTCTTGCAAAAATATATTAAAATAGAAATATTTTTCAATAAAAACAATATTTGCATTTGATAGAATACATTTATAAAATATATATCGAAAACTGTCCTTTTATTTCGGAACAGAGTAAAATGTATTTATCTCACGTTGACAGCCATTACATAGCTTGTTTCGTTTCCTCTTTGTGCATAATTTCAATTTCAAATATATATATTTATTGAGATGTACCGAAACACAAAGAGGATTTTCGGTACATGCTATAATGGTAATTCTATAATGCGCTCTTTGTTTCCTGTTTCTTGCTGTTTGTCTCTTGCCCACTCTTGCTTTTTTGTCCAAAAGGCAAGAGACAAACAGCAAGAAACAGGAAATAAAGAGCACATTGTAGAATTATCATAAATATATTCTATCGATTGCAAATGTTGTTTTACTAAAAAATGCTCACATTTTATTATAGTTATGCAAAAATCTTTAGAAATTTTTCTCGTCACAATTCAAGACAGCTGTAATGAATAGATAAAAACATTTTTCGCAGATAAAAGCAAAAAATCTATTTTGAAAATAATCGTGTATAACTCCACAATTAAACCATTAAAAAATATTCATAATTTATATTATGATTATAATTATAATTTATCTTTGTAGTAGCGAAGATATAACTCTGATTAATTTTTTAAGCAGTTGTATGAGAAGATCGAAAGGTATCATAGCTGAAGTTACACCGAGAGAGTTTCTTCGTTAATGCATTTCTGTAGGAGAGAATGCATCTTTTGATAGTTTCGATAGAACCTCGAAGTGTTATCACCTGTCTCAAGTTTCAGAAGTTATAGACAACCCGCACTTACCTTGTGTGGCGTGCTTGTTCGAACTTCCGGCTGACCGTTGTCTCTGGTCATGTTCGTCGTGCTCGCGGATGGCTGCCCCCTATCCTCGACTCTTCCATTTCCTGACAGAACACTACTACCAGCCGGAGGCAGGTGATCCCCTGGCCTTTTCACCCTAGTCTTGTTGTTATTGTTATTGTTATTGTTGGCGGTGGTGGCAGTACCGCTATTGCCGCTGTTCTGAAAGTAGTGGGTGCCGGTCCTGATATTGATGTAATACTCGGGCGGGAAACTGGTGCCGGGCGAGGTGCCGTCGGTTGAATAGCCGGTCGAGTACGCGCTCTCCGGCGAGGAGAGGCTCACACTTCCGGCGGTACCGCCGGAAGTGCCGGACGAGGTAGTCACTGTTGCGCCGTAGTTGCCCCCGTGCAACCGGATACCGTCCACGTTCTTCGTTGGCGAATCCACTGGATGTACCTGGGGAGAAGATCAAGAGATCCTCTGAATCGTACTAGCGAATTTCATCCCAAATTTGTTTTATTAATTTCTGTTTGGTTAGTTCTCTTTCACTAAACGAAGTAAATAATTCCACTTGATATAAGTTGATAACAACAATCATAACAATATTTTTACGCGGAAAGGACAGTGTAGCTAAATATCTAAAAATTTAGCTAAATATCAATCTGAAAATAATTAATAGATTAAAAGACAATTATGTAAGATTTTCAAGTATGATAAGTAATATTGTTTAATAAGTTTTGATATTTGAACAATTAGTTTAAATATGTTAGTTAATTATTTTAATGGTTTGATGAAATTATTTTTAGATCGATATCCAGCTAAATCTTTAGATACTTCAGCAGACTCTTTCTTTGCAGAACAAGTTTTACAGATTTTTTCATAATATTGTTGACCGCACGTTTATATTAAACCATAAATAATGTACTGAGTATCAATAAATAATTAACGGATATATATAATATGAATGATATGGTAGTTGCAAAACAGGTTAAATTATTTTTACTAAAAAATAATCGAAGATGTACAGGATGTTAATGTAAAAAATATAAATGTGACGTAATAAATATTCACATAAAGAATAAATGTGTTTTAAAAAGATGAAGCGGCACTTACTTAAAAAAATTTATTACATCTTTTAGGTTTTTCGGAACAGCTTTCGGCAGTCAAAAATATTAATGATCTTCAAAAATTTACGTATTATATAATAATCAATCTAAAAGACACAACACAAAGAAAGAATCTATTATGCAACGCGAAAATTGATAAATTTAATACTGCAGTCTGTAATGTACGGTTTCAATAAGGCAGTCGTCCGATGACTGCACAAAAGCCGAAGATACTGCGGCGATCTGCAATGGATGGCGTGAAAGAACGCAGGACTAGTCGCCTGCCGGGGTGTGTCGGGCAAAGAATACTGAACCCTTTTTCTATCCACCTTAACGATAAGCGTCGACGTGCCCTGGCAACTCCTTCCACGGAAAACGCCGACCTAAGGGTCTGTTAGCGGAGAAACGGACGGGGGTAACGAGCAAACGCTGGCAAGCAGTAGGAAAATAGGGGAAGCACTTCGCAAACTAGTTCGCCGATAATGACGATGAATCCGACGAGCATGCACCTTTCGAGATACTTCAGAGCCGAGTACTCGTGAGCGATCGCGAGTGAAAGCAATTAACGTTAGACCCATATATAAAGTCTCGCAACGTACGAAAACGAGTGCCGAAACGATAAAGAGAATGCCAAACTTTTGGGAATTGCACTGAGAAGTTAATTTTATTTGTGCTGAGTGTTATATTGTAGATACACCAAAATATTGATGTATAATCTTAATATTGTTTTATTCTTAAACTGCATAAAGCTGCAATAAGATCAAGAAATTCTTGTCTTCGTTATCAGAAATTCTTTCTGAAAAGGCACGTTCTTTCTTTGAGACTTTGGAGAAAAATTTGTAATATCAAGCTTTTTTCTTTTACGCAAAAGGAGAGGAATCATATTGTAACAATAAATTTTTGTAGAAGGCTATTTAAAAATGTAATTGAAGTTACATTTAATTAAAAGTTTAAATCAAATTACGGAATCAGAGATACGGGAGAGGATCGCGAAACATTCAAGATTTATTTGGGATCGTTTCGCAAAGTGACCGCGAGAAATTACGATGAGGTTGCTCACCTGATGCAAAGCGGGCGATCGGTTGGCGCTGTGGCTCCTGGGGGAGTTGCAGTTCGAGTCGAATCCCTTGTCGCCCTTCTTCCGATCCTTCTTCTTTTTCGATCGCACAATGTGTGCCTCCATCCACGTGCGCAATTTCGTCCCGAACATGTTGCACGCGAGTGTCGGCTAACGGAGCGGCGCCTCGTCGAAAATGCCCAAGTGGATAGAGGAGACTCCTTCCCACGTTTATCGTCCACCGGAACCGGCTGCGATCGCGTTATTTGCGCACACGTCCACTGCTTGAGCGTTCCATTTCACGGTGAAACAGGACCTCTGCAACGAGAAGAGACTCGCTCGTTCAATCTCGCTATACGAATCGCGATAATCGCGATTGAGAAGTGATCGAGTGTGCTGCTTCTGTGCTACAGAAGTTCGACACGATTACGTGGTGAATATAAACGTCAAAAATATACTTATCTCTGTTAGAATCAAATTTTATCTGCGCTGTGTAAGAAGTTCTAATGCAAAATGTTCCAACATCGAATAATAATAATTAATCAACGTGTATTTCAGAAAAATAAAGATGTATAGATGAGACGTATGAAATTCATAAAAATTGTTAGGTATTTATTTTGTTATGTATTATCAGAGACAAGATTTCGATTTATTTTGTATTATGCATAGAAACAGATTTTGCTGAAGTATCAAATAGTTAGATATAGATCTGAAAATAATTTTGTTAAATTATCAAAACAATTATGTGGGACACTCAAACTATAATAACTGGAATATCAATTTTTTGCAGCTCATTAAACTCTAATTTCCTATACTAATTATTTTAATGATTTTTAACAAAATCATTTTCAGACCTTTATCCAGCCTAAATGTTTAAATACTTCAATCAAATTGTTTGTTCTGTATGTTATTGCAATCTAATTCCATTTGAAGTCATAGACGAACGTTTCGCGGAACGCGATATACTATTATAGTCATGGCATAATTGATTTATCGATTAGATTTAATCATTACGTGAACGGACATCGCGATCGACAGTGTCAAGTTCTCTTGATCGGATTACCTCGTAGATCACTGTATGCCGCTTGTCGTGGGACGATTATTACAGCATCGCGTTACATCGCTATTTACACACGCTCTTCTTCGTACGACTCGTTCCACGGGATCGTCTGCGTCACACGACCACGTACGAGAGCTCTTATTAACATACTAAGTGGCACGTTGTCGCTTTTACGCCATTTTTTCTGTCTCTAACGTGGATGATGAACGACGGGCCATCAACCCGAGCTTCCCTGATCTCGCGAGACAATAAATCTGTAATGGAAGACATATGCGCGGCCTCGTGTAAACTCCCGTGTCGTGAAGCGTGGAACGTATGGATTTATGTGAACGCCAGTGGAGAAAAAATATCGTGTATCGATATCAAACTCGTTTCAATAACGATTTTTACACCTATCTGCAGGAGATACATGAAGTTTATCGTTTCAAGATTTCATAACAAATTCAGAATAAATTTCTATTAAAGATCACGATTTGTTATTCTAATAGAATGCAGAATTTAATCTTTAATTCTTTAAATCTTGGGGACTTCGGCGAGATAAATTTTCTACTCGCGTTCGTTGAGTTTCAAATCAGACACTTGATTCTCTTCGACCGTTCTCATTACGGTCGGGGGTGGTAATCAGCGGGCTAAACTTAATTAGGAATCGACCACCGGGGGGTCGAGCAATTTAACGGACCAAATAATTAATGCGCCACGTGTTCGAGAAAAGACTGCCCTGGATTTAAACCATTTCCAAGATTGCATGAAAAATAAGACGATTTTAAACACTCTATTCTGGAATTTTTAATAATCTTATTATCGAATAAATGTGTAGAAGAGAAAAAGTTGTTCATTAACATTTTTCCTTCTCTATACAAACGTTTGATAATAATATTGTTAAGGATTATAGAATTAAATTTCTATAAATGATAATGTCATTCATCAACAAGATAGTAACAAAATCATTATAAATTAGAAATCTCCTAGCTATTATTGAGTCTAGAATAAAATTATCGGTACTTTTTTTGTTACAGAATTTTTTACTAACGACAATCAATAATAATTATTAACGATTACAGAAAAGGATCCTAAACGTCAAAGAAAGCGAAGTTTGAAGACTTCGATATTAAAGTTTCTCCTATCATAGAATTTAAATTTTAGAAGAGTTACTTTTTAAGGTTTCTGTACTTTTAAGGAGTCTTTTAGAGCTTTCTATACTTATAATATTCAATTACGTTGAACAAGTCGCGGCTCCTGTTTGCTATCGTTGATTTATATGTCTTCGACGAGGAGATACAAATTTGCATAAACCTGATCAGAGGCTGCAGATTCCAGAAAACTGATGATAGAGTGATCTCTTTATGGAAATAAGCGGATAGGCGCTGTCTCGCCAACTTTCAAGAAGTACCGAAATGGCTTTAGTCCAGCCGACCGAGTTTTAATCAGGGTTTTCCATCGTCGTCCCGAAACTTCTCAGGTGCAAGAAAATGGAGTCGAACGCATCATCTTTTAACAGGCCGCCAACTTGAAATTGTCATGCACGCCGGAAGTCTTTCGGATGTAATAATCTCATTTATACATACAGAATTAGCAGAGTTAATTAAGCTCCGTGCGGCTGACAGAATTTTGTGAGGCATTAAATGCAAGTTGGCGGAGCGTAACACAATCACAAATCTCTGCTTTTGCCCTTCCGGCTTAAAAGGGCTTACAATAATTCATAAACTCCTCTTTCGTTTATATTTCCACTTTTATACGATCTCGCCCGCTTATATTATTGTTAATAATTTAGTACCACTTTCACGCCAGTTATTTTGTCCCTGTTCTTCTTTCTCTTTCGGTTACTTTCGCATATATCCGTCTGATCAATTCTGCTACTTGGTTTTACGTTCCGCCATAAAAGTTACAAGCCTCTTCTTGCTTTTACTATATTCCATATTTGTTCAAATTGCCTACGGAAGAAACGTGATACGAAAGAATTCCCTCTTCATTTCTGCTTTTGCCGTATCATTATCGGTTTTCCTATTTCTACAAGTTATTGCGCCTTCCATCTTCTCCTAAAATCCACAAATCGACTTCGTTATTCCTTGCGCATTTTTTATTCATCCCCATCATCCACAGAAAAGATATGATTCCTCTCTCAGCCGGAAACCATCTCACGTATGCCTCCCCGTATATGTATACGTATACCGTATGCTATGTGCAAAAGTTGTACGCTATGTGCGAGTTGTAGATGGATATATGTAAGTTTCGCCGTAATGCATATTTACTCACAAAGCCAGACTCCTCGATCTTGGCGCGGCGCTTATCAATCTTCAGACCAGAAAGGGCTTTTCGTGAAATAAATATTTCGTCGACCGCGCCCGCGTCATCGTCGCGATTGAATCGTCCTGCGCATCTTTCGTCTGCCTCCAACTTGGAGGTTTCGTTCTACGTGAGCAGAAACCGGAAGACGAATTGACGACGATGATGACGACGGGCGACAACGACGGCGTCCTCGAATCGAACGCGACGAATTTCCGCGGGGATGGCGGCATCGTGACTGGAGAATGGATGAATCGAGCTTCGCTTGGAAAACTACGATTAAAAACCCGAACATAAAACGACCGAAAGCATTGATATCCTGTAAGACGAAGATTTCTATAGCTCGACTCTAAGGAAGTACGTGGCTCTTATCTAGACGGCGCGGCGTAAAGAAGAGAATCAAGTCTTATTCAAAAAATGTTAATTATATCTTGGCTAGAAAAATCATTTCCAAAGGCGAATAAATATTCAAAAAGAAAATTGCAACTAAAAGATTAGAAGATAAGAATTTTTTTAATATCATACGGAAAGAATGGTTTTGCTATAGTATTAAAAATTGAATCTATACACTGTAAAAAATAAAATGTTAATTTTAACTCAAAGACGTTGAGTATATTTTCTAAGCATGCAAAAATGTTAAAATTAACACAAAAATGTTAATTTTAACATTTTTGCATGTCTTAGAAAATATACTCAACGTTTTTGAGTTAAAATTAACATTTTATTTTTTACAGTGTAGATTTGTGTGTGAAAATAATTTTATTAGATCATCAAAGTAATTATCCAACATTTAAAATTGCGATATTTTAGTAACTAATTTGAATGTCTTATATAATTATTTTGATGGTTTAACAAAGTTACTTCCACATAGAAAAAACGAATGAGTGCTGAAGTATCTATAAAAATTGAACTATAGATACAGATCTGAAAATAATTTAGTTAAACTACCAAAATATTTATTTATGTCTAAAAAACTCAAATATAAAGAGTAAACAATTTTAATAATCTAACAACCAACTAGAGTGTCAATTATTTTGATAATTTAACAAAATTATTTTCAAACCTGTCTGTGTCTGAATAAATTGTTATCTTATTTCAGAAAAATCTTTCCGTGTGTAAGCTAGAGTAACTTTTTTGATTATGTCCAAAGAGGCAAGACGTATGCACGTTAAAATTGGAACATAAGTCTTGAATGTTTTATGCATTCTAAGCAATTTTTTAAATTTAGGTCAAAGTTCCGACTGATTGTGAGTGAAAATAACTTCATTTTACGGTAGATTTTACAATTTAAATTAAATTATATTTATGGTATTATACATTTATAATTACGATATTATAGAATTGTAATTTAATATCTAGAGCGAACTGTCGAGCAAAAATCATTTAGCTAAAGACGATGTATAATATCGAAATTTCAGATTTGTCAGAGGGTTTATCTCTCATTTGAGGGAAATTTCTTGATTAAAAGCGCTTTCAAGACGTTATATCAAGTGACGTCGAATATCTTTCCCTCTACTTGCTGCGAACTGCCGCGAACGAGTATTCGTTAGATCTCTTAATCGCATCTGGCATCGCGACGCTCGTTAAGACGTCGCTCGCTCGCCCGCCGGTCGTGATGATCCGATTGCGTATGCTAACGCGCAAGTTATAACGCAGTTAAATTCGCCATCCTAGTCCTTCGTCCTTGCCCTCGCCCTCGTCTTCGCCGTCATCGCCAAGTCCCGGGATTTCATTTCCATAATGTTTCGGCGAAATTTAAGGACATCTAGAAGGATAACCAACCCCCGGAACCTGGAGAGGAATCCTCGTT